AGAAAATCTTATGACCTTTGCTGCTTGTCTTGTGAAAAATGAAAAACAAGTTAACATTATACAAAGGCCTTATCATACATTTTAATAGAATTGATAATAGAGAGTGACATATGAGAAACAGGAAGGGTAGATAAGATTATCTTGATTCAGCCTTCAACACAAAGAAATGAAGATGCTGAGAAAGAAGGAACTTTGCTCAGGGTTACCCTGAATATTAAAAGAACAAGTAGAATTCAGAATCCATTTTCCTGAAAGCTGGTATTTTTATAATACCATGCTCATTCTATTTTAATTTGTCTTTTTTTAAAAAATCAGCAAGCAGGGTTTTAGATGCACCCCAAACACAGGTTACAAGTGATAATGTAACATGGTGGGAAAACACTCATTTTGCCAATACCTTTGGACAAGCCATTGGACTTACCTTAGGCAAGTCCTTTGGTGGCACTGCATCTCTGTGTGATGAACTGGTTGGTGGGAAAGGTTACATTTGCTTTTAACATTTTGTGAACCCTCCAAATTCAGGGCCCTACCCCATCTAAGAATTTATAAGTACCACTAGTGTTTACATCTCCCTTTTCTGCTCCCTCCTCCAAGCTACTCCCCCCCTCCCTTTTAAAAATTTCTGCTTAAACTTTATTCCATTCAACTTATAATTGGTAACATCCAGCCCTACCCCTGGCTTTATGAAGGTACAGCCTTCTGCACCAGACTCCTCTATCACCCTACACTGGAGGTGTTGTTTTTCTTGTCTCTAGTACTTCAGTGACTAAACCTGGGGTCATAGTATACATCTAGATCCTTTACCTCCACCCAACCCCCATAAAATAAGGCAAGAAAGGCCCTCCCTAGTGGTGCAGCACAGCACTAAGAAGCTAAAGCCACTTCAGCATGAGTTCCATCCCCACCTGCCCCTGAGGTGACCGCATGGCATGGCAGACCTCTCCTGACCCACCCGCTGCTCCCCTCAGCAGTGTACTTTGTCCATCTGCCTGTTCTGCTCCCCGCTCTGTCCCTGGTGAAGCCTCTTACCACCCCTGCACCTCTGGCCTGTACCCCAGTTCTGTATGCACAAATAAAATAAATCTTTAAAAAAAAAAAAAAAGGCAAGAAAAAGCATTCTGTAGTTGAATCTGAAGGGTTTTCACTGAGCAGCCAGGCCAAAACTGTGGTACTAATTTCATTTGAAGTTGTTGAGTTTTCATGGAAGAGAGATTAGAATCAAACTTTCCAGAAAATTAGAATTTAAAAGAAGTGTAAAATAGTAACACTGTTCTAAGTAAGTGTGTGTGGGGCCTGGGGGGATGGTGGCTATGAGGAATGGGTCAAATCAGTGTTATATAATGGAATAGGGAAACATCTGCATTAGAATCATCTGGAGTGCTTGTAAAAATGACAGATTCTACCTGTATATCCCTATCCTCACTACCCTGAACCTGGAGATCTGAATTTAGAGTAAACTCACTGAGTAGACGCTTATCACATAAATGTAGAATCTTAAGATCCTAGCAAGAACATAGGTACTTGTGGGCAATAAAAGGTATTTTAAGTTTTGAAGAGGCGGTGGAGGGCACAGACAGGTTGCGTGGGCAGGTTGGACTCAGAGAGGACTCAGAGGCAAGGGTGAGCTGCCGGGAGTGCACCCACGTGTGCAAGGGGAGCCGAACTGGAGAGATTGCTCTACGTTGGCTGCACCAGAAATGAAGAATAAGCAGTGTCTCGAAGAGGCATGTTGAGAAATGTATGGGAGCCGTGGGGATAGGGTGAATATAAGAGATAATGGCAGGGATGACTTTGAAATGACAACCGTGTTTTAGGCATTCTAGAAAAATGGCTCCACTGAATGCTAGAAGGCAGCATCCAGGTGAAAATGTGTGTAGACAAGTGGGAAATTAGGCTTGAGCATGATCAGTCGTCTGGGAGAAAGATGAAAATGTGGAAGAGTCAATAGCTTGAGAGATAAGGAAAAAGGAAGCCTGGAAACCTAGGCAACTTTTGGGGATAACAATAGTAGACCGCAGAAGGATGAAGCAAAGAAGGAAGTGAGAGGAAACAGATAATGTGGACAGTGGATGAAGCTCCAAACCAAAGGAAAAGACAGATTTAAGATCAGTATCTGTTATGTCAGATCTTCTAGAGTTTGTAAAAAATGATAAAAGACTTCAATTTGACAAAAAGGAAATTAGGTGAAAACTATTTTTTAAATTAATGAGCTAATTTTAGTTTTCACACAGCAAAAGTCAGATACCTGGTTTTAAATAATTTATATTTCTATTTTTATTGATGTAGCATTGCATTATACCACTATATAAGCTTTAGCTGTGTGTGGTCACCTCCGGGGCAGGCAGGGATCGAACTCATGCTGAAGTGGCTTTAGCTTCTTAATGCTGTGCTTTAACCTGCTGCGCCACCAAGGAGAGCCGAAATCAGTAAATATTTAAAGTTTATTTTAATCAAATATTGTAGAAGGTTATAAAATAAAATAGAGAAATTCTACATTCCTGTATTTCTAAACTTCAATATCATTCTCCAAAAGTGTTGTTAACAGTGTCTTATTTCCTTGTCACTTTTCCAAGCAAATAGAATTTTACATACATCTATACATACAAACTTGTTTCTACACAGACAGACTACACACAAGATGCCCTTCTGCATCTTGTGTTGTTTGTTTTTTAAATTTACTTAAACAACCTGATGGGTAATACCAGTATGATTCAATCAGCCTCACCTTAAAAACTATGTAGCCTTTCATTATTCGTATGTACCATAATTTACTGTGAGCTTGTAAGCAATTCCAATTTTTTTTATATATTTTTTTTTAAATTTTTTAAAGATTTTATTTACTTGTGCATACAGAACTGGGGTACAGTTCAAAGGTGCAGGGGCGGTGAGAGGCTTCACCAGAGACAGAGTGGGGAGCAGAACAAGTCGACTGATGAAGTACACTGCTGAGGGGAGCAGCGGGTGGGTCAGGAGAGGTCTGCCACGCCATGTGGTCACCTCCGGGGCAGGCGGGAGTAGAACTCATGCAGAAGTGGCTTTAGCTTCTCAGTGCAGTGCTTTAACCCACTGTGCCACCAGGGAGGGCCCCCAATTTATTTTTTTTTAAGATTTATTTATTTATTCATATAGAACTAGGATATAGGCCAGAGGTGTAGTGACTGTGAGAAGATTCACCAGAGAGAGAGAGCAGTCAGCAGAATAGGTAAATTGACGAGGTACACTACTAAAGGGAGCAGTCGGTGGAACAGGAGAGGTCTGCAGTGCCAGGTGGGTCAGCTCCCAGGTCCTAACCTGAGATTGAACTCCTGAAGAAGCAACTGTCATTAGCTTCATAGTGCTGTGCTTTAACCCACTGAGCAACCAGGAGGGCTTTAACTTCCAGTTTATACCTGGTCATGGTTGAAGTTCTATTGTTCTAATCATAGAGAACATTCTTACAAACAAAATCAAAAGCATATGCTTTAAATTTTGATATTTCCAGGTTATCTTGTACAAATTTACACTCCCACCAATACTGTGTGAAAGTGCTTCCGTATCTTTATCTATCAGTCTTCCTTTGAGCCTTGAAGTTTCTGCCCTTCTAGTTGTTGGAAATTGCTACTACTTTTTAGTATGCCTTTGTTGGAGGAATGTGTAATGAACATTTTTCTCATGAAGACTACTAGCCATTTAGTGTGTGTCTTTATATTGTGTCCTTTGACTGTTTGTCCCTTACCATATTATGTGAAAGGAAAAGAAATTCTTTACTAGGACAGACTACTTTTTAATAGATGACCTACCAATGGGCCACAGGAAACCCTAAAGGGATGCTTCTACTCAGGACCACTCATACGAACTTGGACTCATTCAGAGGCCTCAAAGAAAGTTCCAAAATGAAAATCTAACCACACAACCTGAGGGTAGAAGGGCAGACTCTGTCTGGAGGGGGATGTGTACACAGCCTCAGTCTTTCTGTTCCTTTCTTATTGCTGCATCAAGAATGACCACACATGTGGCAGTTTAGTTCACAGATTCCCCGGGTTGTGAGGTGGCTAGATACAGTATGACCAGTTTTTTTCTGTTCAGGGTCCACAAAGCTAAAATCAAGGTGTTATCTTTTTCTAATTTCCTCACAATTGTAAGGCTGACACCCCCATTTCCATGCTATCAACTGGAGCCACACTCAGTTCCTGGAAGCTACCTGTGTTCCTTGCTACATGGTTCTTTCCATCTTCAAAATCAGCACAGGAGAATTTCTTGTTTGGTGACTCTTTCTCGTGCTTCTATTTCTCTGACTTCTAGACCCAGATCTAGAGAATTCATGAGATTAGGATAGGCCAATCAGGGAATCTCCCTGTAACTGACTTGGAGCAAATTCAGATAACAAATGCCTTCATAGCAGCACCTAAATTAGGGTTTATTTAATTGGCTAGCTGGGAGCTGTGTGTACAAGAGTCTTGGGAGCCATATTAGAATTCTTGTCAGCATACTTTCCACCTGCCTTCCACAAGGAAAGCAGACAGAATGTGTGTCTTTTGATTGAGAACCAATTACACTAAAACATTTAATGCCAGAGGAAGGAGGCATACATCTAGCCCCCTGCACAGCAATGGGGCAAAGATCTTAATGTGAACAATGAAACCACAGAAAGCTGGAGAGAAAATCCAGGAAATCACATAAACAAGGTACAGGCAGCCTTGCAGATTGAGGATCTAGACCTGGCATTTCTGACCACCCCCCCCCATACACACACACACACACACACACACACACAGTGATCAAATCATTTGCTGGTTGCACAAATGGATTCTGACTCCTCTCATCTTGTCAGTATGATCAGAGTATGCTTTTTAGAGATCTTGATCCTGGGTGTTCAATAGAATAGAGTGAACTGATGATAATCAAAGTACATGAGCCTTGAATGGGCAACTGTGTTGATGAACATTATTCTAAATTAATTCTAAAACCTTCCTTCCTCTGTCTTTCTCTTTTTCATTTTCCCACTTGCTGCTGTGATTCAGGCGCATTATACATGACTTGCTTGAGACTGAAGAAATTTATATAAAAGAGATTAAGAACATAATTGATGTAAGTTTTTTTAAGAGGGATTGTTAATTTTGTATTCAAACTTGAGAAGTTTTATTGCACAGAGAGATTCGGGATGGTTGTCATATGTCTCTAGCATCCTCAGCAAGATTTCAGGTCTTGTAATATCACAAATGTCTTTCCAGTGGGGTATGAATATTTATGACTACTGATCCATGTAACCAAATGTCTTCTGAAAGATTGTGCCAATCCATAAGATTAGAGCAGTTTCCAATCAAGTTCATCCTATGCTTGCCAATGATAGATATTATAATTTAAAAGTTTTTGATTTAATGAGGGTAAGTTCTTAATGTTTTAAGAAAAATGTCTATTTTCCCAAGGGAATGATCAAGGAAAAAAACTATATGCACAAGGTTATACTAGATTTTTTCTGCAACGAAGTAATAGAAGCAAACAACTGATCAATAAAAAAGGAATGCTCAAGAAAGAATGATATACAAACTGAATGAAATATTATTCAATTATTCCAAAATACCTATTTTAAATAATATGTAGCAACATTGAAAATTGCTCATAAGATTTAATTTAAAATAATATGTAGACCTTTGTTAGCAGAGTCTAAAAAGTACATGGAACAATTCACTACCAAATTATACATGTACACAGTTATAACCATATAAAATAAGGTTTTTAAAAGTCACAAAGAAACTATAATAAACATAATATTTGCATTAACTCATAAAATGATAAGTCCTTTCCCTTTTTTTACACTTGATGTTTACAACATAAACACTTAAATATATATTTATTCTTCTGATAAAAGTGCTGTTCTGTTATTGCTATTGTGCTATCTTCTGAAGATAACACAGGAGAAAACTGATATCAAAAGAAATTCTTTAGTGGAATAGTTTCCGGGAAATATGCATGATATATTCCTCAGTTATGTCATTAAAGCTTTGGTCCCTGGAGTAGCTAATTCAGATCATATCTTCTATGTTCCTACTTACAAAACCTACTTTGTTTCCATCTCTGCAGGGATATATCACTCCAATGGATTTTATTTGGCTGAAGCATCTGATTCCAGATGTTCTTCAGAATAACAAGGACTTTCTCTTTGGGAATATTAGAGAACTTTATGAATTTCACAACAGGTAGACAATAATTCAATTTTACTAAGAAAAATGGAAAGTAGAAGAGGGACAGAAATCAAACTGATGGGATTTGGGGGTGCAAGTGCATAAACATTTTCAGGCGTAAGCAGGTGGTCCAGAATCAGTGGATTGGTTTGAGCTGGATAGGGATGAGGAGGAGAGAAGCGCCACTGGAAAAAGAAGTTAGAAGCCCTAAGAAGTTAGACGATGTTAATTGAGCATATAGTAGGTGTCCGTCATTAATATATTTATTTGTATATTCCTTTGCTTACTTATCTCTGAACGCATCAATGTTTATTGAGCAATATTTATTAATATCCACAGGGATTGCAGTCATCTCCGGAAATAGGAAGATAACCGAAACACATGCCTATTGTCTTATGATCAGTGGGTAGTGCTGGGAAGGAGGGTGTTAGAAAGTGCTAACTGGTCGAACAAGCATGTTTTCTAGCCCAGGGCTAGTTGAGTCTTGAGTCCTGAAGACTTAGAGGAAAAAGAGACTTTGTAAATTATCTTCCAGCCCTTTCATTTTACAGAAGAGGAAACCATAGTCTACTTATTCACTTTAACCCACTATAGTGACTGGATATCATACATCTGACTGATGAAAGGGAAAAGATTACTCGGTGAAATGTTGTTTCCTGACTGTATCCCTTGTCCCTTGGTCAGACACAGACTAACATGGAAGTACTGTGTTCTGCTACTTTCCCTCTAGATGTTATTCAACCTCTTTGAGCCTCAAGTTTCACATTTATGAAAACTTTGCTTGCAAGTTTGGTGGAAGATTAAATGAGATGTTGTTTAGCTAGTTTATGCTGGGCTTATAAGAAACTCTCGATGATGTTAGTTCTAACAGCAGCCACAGCAGAAGTTCCTAACTGGAGTGTCTCATAGCGAACATCAAATACATCCAGACTGTCTCCGGCTAGTGCTCACAAGGATCACAACAGCTGGGGTGGTTTCTGGGAATCCTCGCAATGTCACACAACACAACTTTTTCATCCAACTCAGTGTGTTGGAAATGAGACAAGAGCAGTAAAGCTTGAATAACAGCATTTTTCTGGGTTCCACCTAAGTCCTTATGTGATTTGACTTTAAAAAAAAAAAACCCTGTACATGTTTAAAAACAAACAAAAACAACAACAACAAAGCTTTTCTGTTATCTTTTCTTTCCTTAGGACTTTTCTAAAAGAATTAGAAAAGTGTACTGAAAACCCTGAACTTCTGGCACGTTGCTTCCTCAAGAGAGTAAGTCTGTGTTCCTAATAAATGGAAATAACCATGTAATTAAAGTCAGCTCATATATTCTTTGTAAGTGGCAAGGGCACATAGAAATATTCATAATCAGAACATTTATATCTATCTCTTGAGTGTGACAGAGAAGTCCTTTAATTCATCTGGTGTGAGATGGGTCAAGTTAACCCATAGGTGGGGATAACTTACAAGCCTGGCTACTTGCAAAGCCTGAAAAAATTGAAAGCCTGGTTTCCCATGTCCCTCAGAGTAAATGATGCACCTTTGAATGAGCAAACAAAATTTTTTAGAACAAGAATCACACACTACATCGAAATTCTTCACTAAACTTGTATGACCATTCTCCAGGGAATTTTTTTTTTTTCTCCAGAGAAGTTTTTATGCTAAATTAAAAATCTCAATAAACCCTTCCTCCCATTCTCTTCCTTGTTTTGCCTTTTGTGAGTCTGAGACATCAGATCAAACAGCTTTAAAAAAAAATCTAAGCAACCCAAATATGACTGGTAAATTTAAGTACAAAACTTGTGATAAACTGAAAACAAGCAAACAGAAGTCACCAGGACTCAAGGTACTTGAACAGTGGAGAAGCAGTTGTCAGCCCTCAGACTGCTGACCTGGCTTCAAAGGTCCCTTCCATGACCTCATGTGGGCCTTCCCTCAGCCTCATCATAGGTGGGTCTCCCAGTGCTGAAATTCAGGATGTACCACAAATGGTTTTATATTCAACCTGATTAATTTCCTTCTTGAGTGGTCATTATAACATTATTAGTTATACTATAATGTATACTAATTAGTATCTAATCATAATATACTAATGTAATCTATTATGTTATAATATATTGTCACCAGAGCCCATAATATTATAATATAGTGTCTTATACTACTTGGCATTTTAATTCTTACCAACCGCCAATGTGAAATCTTTTATTAGCACTTCTATCATTATTATAGACATTTTCACATTGTTGAATAAGAAGAGGACCTAATTCCTGTGGGGGGAAATGAATATTATCAATTAAAAATTGTCCAAATATGAAGAGATGGTCAGGGAATTCCTGACAAAGCATTCATTCCCAGAAGAGTTCTCCTAATGTTTTACAAAGCTTTTTATAATGTCCCACATTGTGCACATTGGAAGAAACTTAGAAATCATTAACAAATCCTGCATATAATCCTATGTGATTTACAATGCTGGGGCAAAATACAAATAATAAATTTTTATCGAGCATAAAGCTATAACTTTGAGGCAAATAAAGTAATAAAAATGATAATTATTTAAGAATCCTTGACAGAACTGGCTGCTACTATACACAGACTTGAACTTGTTAATCACCAAGGCAAGTCCACACTTTATTTATTACAGCAGATTACCTTTTCTTAATATTTGCAGAATTCCACGAATAACAGAAGTAAAATTTTGAAATATTGCTCTGGCTAAGCATTTTCACTAGAATCTATAGCTTGCAACATCTAGGGAAAAGCTGCCCTAGAGATAAAGCTCAGAACAAGTATAACATTTGTCAGTTTAATCTGAGTTCAACTTGCTCAGAGATTTTCACATGGTCCATTAGCTGCCATTTGTTGGATATTCTGCATGTACTGGGCATTTGATGAGAAGTTTCTATACATTATCTCATTTAATCTCACAACCCTCCTAGGAATTAACTATTGTTCTAAGCCCACTTAACAGATGAGGGACCTGAAGTGTAGGAAGGATAGTAATGGAACTCAGAGCATACAGTTTGAAATTGACAATCCAAGAGCTGAACCTGGACCATCTACCACCAGGCTGGCAGTCTTAATCTAATAGCAGCTATGTCATCCTGTGTGATTATAAATTTTAGGCAACAAGTTTTTAGCCTTCTAATTTATTCTATAAGGAAATAAGGGGCATCTGGCACTTTCATATGCTGCGTGTTAGTGAACATCCTTACTCAAAGGAATGTTGGACTGAAGAACAAATTTAGTTCTTAAAGGATGCTCAGAGTATCGATACAGGAGCAAGGGGTGAAGCTTTGAAGAATGCAGGTTTCAGCTCAGCACCAACCACAGGAACTAGGGCCCTGTCTGTTACTGGGAGGATTGGGGGAAAGATGACTGACTGTTGAGAATAGTCTACTGGGTGGTAGGTTTCTCTAGCTACTGAGAATCTTTGGGTAGGTGAGTACTGAAAACAGTGAAAACTTGAATTCTTTGAGCAGCTAAAGGCTGATTTCTTATGCATGAACATATCAAATGTGGGTGGGATGCCTCAATCAATGTGTTTTACAAGTCTGGCCTCCCATACGCAGCCATGTTCTCCTGTCTAAGCTGCTATTCTATGGGAGTTACTGAGTTTGATGCCTAGAACATCAAAGGTGCTCAAAACTTTGTTCTGGGGTGAATGAATGAATAATAGGTCTATTATTGTTAAGCTCTGAGGTATTATCCTAATCTTCAACCAGTCTAACATTTCTCCATTTTTCTTCCTAAATTTGTTTGGGTGGGGATGCATGTGTGTGTAATTTTTCCTGGAGAGAGTAACAAAGACAGAGTTGTTTTAGTTCTTGTCATGAAATGCCCACTTATCATCTATCAAAAGAAGGCAAGGCAAGCGCTGGAAATGTTTCACTACAGCAGTGATATAGTGATGTCACCCACACCCACTTAAGTGACATTAAAAGTTAGCCTGAGCAGGAGGATAGAATTCCACAAAGAAGGTGCCCGGGACTTCCCCACCAGAAGTGCCTGGACTTTGTGCTGAGTCCAGCAGTAGCAGATCAGACTTCCCTCAGGAAGCTGCCAAGCTGACTCCACTGGCTTGGGGTCCCCTTTCTCTGTGGGATGTCCGTAGATGTGTGTCCACCTCTCAGGGTCTGTGGTGCTATGAAAGTACAGGTCACAAAGCACTCATTTTGAGAGAGTCATAGAATGTTCTTGTCTGAATCTTGTGTGGCAGGTTGAAGGTGAGGACTGAGCAGAGCCTGCTGCTTTGCACAGATGACTTAGCTCTGTATTATTTTGTCAGACAACCACACTTTCTTTGTGGTGTGATTATCTTTTGGTTGTTTCTTAGGTATTTTTTCCCCTAGAGTTGTCACCATGACACTTATAAGGAGAGGGCAGAACAATTTTGGGGTGATGTTGCTTGGGTAAAGAGTAAGAAGAGTAAAAGTAAAAAATTATTGCTGTCCATGAATTCACTTAGTATTTATCAGCTTCTACCACACTGTTCACATCTGTATTTAGTACTGATCATGCATAATCATTTATAACCTACTCTCTCCCTCCCCATCACACACTCAGCCCATGCATCATGCATCCCCAGTTCCTTCCATTTTGGAAGTATTCAGTATTGTTGAATACTATAATTCCTGTCCATTACTGCAAAATGCCGCATGATTAATTTGTTCTAATTTTTTCTCATTCAGAAAGAAGATCTTCAAATATATTTTAAATACCATAAGAATTTGCCCCGAGCCAGGGCAATCTGGCAAGAATGTCAAGACTGCGCCTATTTTGGGGTAACACTGAGTTCACAGAGTCTCCCACAAATTGTTTTCCATGGGCAATGTTCATGCACACCAAATTTTTTAAAAAATCAAAACTATGAACTAGGCAGAGGAATGTGGCATTGGCGGTTATTAACATTCTTTCCTATTTTGAAAATAAACATTTGAAGTGTCAAAGCTATGTGTCTATAGGACAGACCTGAGTCACAGTTGATAGGCTGGTGTGAAAACCAGAATCCTCGCTAGGATGGTGTTGAAAAAAATATAGCCTGGTGGAGCAGGAGGTTAAAGACAGCACTAAGAAACTAAAGCCACTTCAGCATGAGTTCGATCCCTGCCTGCCCCAGAGGTGACCACATGGTGCAGCAGACCTCTCCTGACCCTCCCGCTGCTCCCCTTTGTGTACTTCAAAGATCTGCCTGTTCTGGTGCCCACTCTGTCTCTGATGAATCCTCTCCTCTCACCGCCCCTGCACCTCTGGCCTGAACGCCAGTTCTGTATGCACAAATAAATAAATCTTTAAAAAAA